ACTTCTTATGGATTGTGAGGTTTCCTGCCTCTATCATCCTGTCAGGCATATCTTACCAAACTCGCCATGTTAATTACCTACTCTGTTTCTAGGGTATCCCTCATGTCTGATTCCAGACCCATCTTACCAAGCCCCATTTCCAGGACAACTTATCTCCTTATCAACAACTTATCAACATATCTCCTGGAATTCCTCATCATCCCCTGCATCCACACCATCTTTAAAATCCCACTGTGGACCCGGGCAAGCACTGTCAGTCAAAGCTGCATTGTACTGTTCCTGACATTTGCCCTGGACATGGCAGCCAGTGTCCCACTGTGCAGGCAGTGACCTGAATGTTCTGCTGGATGGGGTGGTGTACGGGTGGGACTTCCTCTCATCCCAGCATCAAGAGTGAAAGCCACAATACCACACCATGCCAGTCTGGTTTGCCATCCAGATCATTGCTGTCTCAGTGATCTGAAGGATCATGGCCCTGCAATGTAGGAGGAAGTTCACCAACGTTCTCCACTCCACCACCACCTTCTCTCTGATTACCTCACACTCATAATATCTCTGCTACTTTATGCTTAAGTCTAATGTTCTACCATACTAATTTATGCCTGCAACACTTCCCCTCACTTGCTATCACCAACCCCAAACTTGACACCATTAACCCTTTGTGTGCGGTTTGACCTCCTCATCTGAGGAACGATGGTCTTGCTAAAGAGGGAGTGCACCAAAGCTTTACCAGATGTGTTTACCTTTATCCTGCAATGATAGAACTAATGGGGCAAAGCACTAAAAGTGAAGGAAGGTCGAATCAGTAAGGATCATTTTTGTTGATGTTCAGAAGAATGATACAGGATCTTATAGAAACCTTTAAAATTCAAACAGGGCTAGACAGGGTAGGGTTAGGAACAATGTTCTCAGCGGCCAGGTGTCACAGTCTGAAGATATGAGGTAAACTATTTACAACTGAGGAGAAATTTTCTTCACCCAGAGAGTGGTGAGCCTGTGAAATTTTCCACCACAGAAAGCTATCGAGACCAAAACATTGTATGATTTCAAGAAGGAGTTGGATATAGAACTTGAGTCTGAATGGATTGAAGGAAATGGGGGAGAAGTGGTAACAGGTTATTGAGTTGAATTATGAGCCATGATCATAATGAACGGTGGAGAAGGCTTGAATGGCCTACTCCTACTCTTATTTTCTATGCTTTTATGTCCTTGCTGCAGTTGGAATGATAGTTGTTGGTGCAGCCTGAAGTGCTGAAATGGCATGTGTGTGGATCAGAGATGTATCATGAAGGCGTTATAGGCTGGCACATATCAGATGCCAATGTCTGTGGACGTGGGGTGCAAGTGGCTGATGCCCCTGGTCTGCCTGGTGTTCATTTGGAGTGTTCATTGGAAGTCATTTGGAGTAAATGGCGAGCTCCACTCTGCTTTCCACGTCGAGTTTTCCTGAAGTGTAGCTTCTTTGGCACATTTGATAAGAGGTGGAATATTAATGAGGCGAATTGGGCTGTCAATAAGGCATTTGACAAGGAATAATTCCCCCATAACTGAAACTCACTACTGCCTAGTGGGAAATTCACCATGCTGCTTGTGACGAGCATAAAAAAAGGTGTGAATAGTTCCCGACATTGAGATAGGCTTCAGTGGACTTCTTGTCCAATTCTGCCACACATCTCATCGTAGCACATGTTGCTCAAACCTTTATAAGACTCTGTCCTTTTTTTTAAGGTTAATTTGTTCACTTTAGGCAACCATACCCGAGCTCCCTTTTCCATTAGTCCAATGTTGTAAAGATGTCTGGTGCCTTCATTTATATTCATTCATGGGATTAAAGCTGGGCCAGTGTATTATCCAACTTTAGTTGCCCTTGAGCTTTCTTGAACAGTTAGAGTCCATTCTGAAGAAAACTTTACTTTGTACTGATTTGATCATTATGTGGTGTCCACAATACCACCCTGTGTACTGTTTATGCTCAAAAACATTGAAAGAACTACAGCTAAATCTGAAATTAAGACTATAATGAACTGAAAGAACAAACTAAAATAAAAAATTGGTTTAAAATATTGACATTCATTGACATCTTTCATCCAAAGTATCTTTAAACTTATAAACCTTTGATGACAACCACAATTAATGAAAGGACATAATAACTTGGATGTTCATATTCACAGGATTGTAAACCATTTCCTTTTGGAGATCTCTGGTTTGCTTCATGGAGATCACTGTGCAATCATTATGGATAGTCAATGTAGAACATTTTCTGTTTAAATTTGAACAGTTATTATTTGATAGAAACAAGCATCTTATATATTATATTTTGGTCTGAGTTTCACAATTTTCCTTCATTTGATGTGAGCATCAGCCATGATCATATTAAACAGCTGAACAGGATCGATGGGCTGAATGGCCTGGTCTTGTTATTGCTCTCATTCATAGCAAGGCCAACATTTATTGTTCATCTCGTAGAAACCTAGAAAGAGTTAAACAGAACTAAACATGATAAATGTAGGAAGACTGTTTCCGATGACCAGGGAGTCCAGAGCTGGGGTCACAGTTTTGAGTTTGGGGTAGGCTATTTTTAACTGAGATAAGGAGGAACTTCTTCACCCAGAGTGATGAGCTTGTGAAACTCTTTGCCACAGAAAACAGTTGAAGCCAAAACATTGAGCATTTTATAGTTCTTGAGGCTAAACGGATCAAAGGGTATGGGGAGAAAGCATGAACAGAGTACTCAGTTGCATGATTAGCCATGATCATATTGAATAGCAGAGCAGGCTTGAAGGGCCTGTAGCTGCTCCTATTCTCTACATTTCTATGTCTGATTGGCCTTGAAAATGTGGTGGTGATCCACTATCGTGCCACTGATATCCTCATTTAAAAACATTCACAGTGCTGTTCGGGAGGGATTTCTGGAATAATTTGATAATTCAGTTTTGTATGAGGAAGATTTTCTTTCAGGAGGTAGGAGTAAAAAGAAAAGAATGTTTTGGAGGAGTGCAAAAACATCTTTGTGAGTATAGTTGGAGAAGTGAAGGAGAGGGGTTATTTCAAATTCTACACTTCCTGTTACTGCCAAGGGATCTATTCACAAGCATTGTGAGGAGATACGATCCACACGAAGGATAACACTATTACAAAAGTACCCTTGCAGACAGAATGATTGGAAATTAGAATTCTTATCACGAAATACTACTGAAGCAATATCCATAAATTCTTCAAAAAGCAAATTTCGTAGTTACACAAAGACGGATTGTCAAAATGGCATGGGAGCACAAAAAGCCTGAGGTTTGTGAGTTATTATATGAAAAAATCTTTTCAGAGACTTGAAGGGCCAAATCACTTCCTTTTCTACCATAGGATTCTATGATCCATTGTGTGGTCTCCACACATGAATGTGATCACAAAAACACTTCATGTTCATTTTGTAGTGGTGACAGTTGCAATCTCATTCTCTGAATTTTCTCCAAATTCTTCACTAAACATTGAAACAAACTGACTCTGGCATCTAGAAAATGCGATATTGCACTTTTATACAAATAACCAGTCAAACTGAGTCTTAAAACTAAAATGAAGAACACTTGCTCCAGAGTTCCATTCTTGTAAGCATTGTATTCATTAGTTTAGGCACAGTAAATTCAGATGGGGAGCAGTACATTACAAAGGCAGTTAGATCAATGAGCAGACTATGATAGACAAAGTTCAATGTGGGCAGTGTGAGCTCATCCACATGTAGAAAAACAAATCCGAATTGTTCTTAACAGTGCGAAACGTAGAATAAAGGGATTTTAGTCCCATATGAATAAATAACTAAAAGTCTTGCATGTATACAAAAAGTAATCAAATGTAAATAAAAGGTTGATAATTATCTTAAGGTCACAGAAATGAGAAATGATACTTCAGTTGTACAGAGCCTTAAATTTCACTTGGAGGACTGCATTCAGTTTTGGTCAGTGAACTGTTAGAGAAACTGTTAGGTGAGGTTAGGTTTATCTTGTGTTTTGAATTAAAGACTCAATTTAACTATTAAAAGACAGCTCCAGAAATGTACTGAAACTGGGAGCAATTGGAGAATGTCATAAACGTAGTCAAATCTAAAATTCTGATCCTTGACTGTTAGGATAGTTTAGGAAGTGCTAACCTTTAAATGGATACATCTATCTGGTGGACAACTATACGTTTATCTACTTAAAAGTATAGAAAAGGATAAAATTATGTTATTCACTGAAATTGTACTGTAGAACCTTCCATTCGTTGGTACCACAAGACAGCGAGCTTTCAAAATGTTGAGCTCATGGCACCTGATGTAAACCAAGGTAAGGATGTGATAGTGATAGAGGCAGCAAAAGAAAAGATGATACGTGATTGTCATATGAAGACAGATAAAGATTGATGGTTGACCATCTTAGAGCTTGAGCTCCAACAACTGTAAAATGAGGTCTCTACCAGCCTTCGAATTGCTGTGTATTGTTTATGCATAACATTCTTTACAATAAAATCTGTAAGTGAAGACTTTAAGTTTAGAAATCTTGTTCTGTGGAACAGAGGTTGACAGCTCTAAACTTGTTTCACTGGTACACATTGTGACAAAATCTCAAGAAAGATAGGTTTGGAAGGGCAACAGCTCACATTCATGAGAATAATACCAGGACTTAGAGGATTGGATTGTGAGGAGAGTTTGCACAAATGTGACTTGTATTGTCTTGAAATCTGATATTTTTCAAAGTGATCTAAAATAATAATAGGATTTAATATGGTTCATAGAGACTGACTATTCCCTCAGGTGAGGAAATGCAGAGCACAAGGGAAATATTGTAAAATTAGTCTAAGGCTATGTAAAAAGTGAGATCAGAAGCACCGGTCACACATCATGTGGTGGAAACCTGTAATCAGCTCCAACTAAAATGGACACTGGGTCAATTGAACGTTTCAGTACTGAGAGCAATAAATTTTTGATAGGGAAGGATGTCAAGGTACATAGAACAAAGGCAGGTAAAATGGAGTCAAGGTGGAGATCAGCCATGATTTAATTGAACGGTTGCACAGTTCACAGCTGACTGGCCATATTCTGTTCTTATTAATCAATCAATTATCCACAATTCTGAAAAATATGAGTTCAAAATACAGCATTTCTTTACTGTTTGCAGTGATGAGATTAAATATTAATTTAAATTACAAAGTACTAGTCCCCCTACAATGGAATAGGGAGTGGATCTTTGCACAGGTGGAAATACAATAAAATGTTCAGACATTAGCCATTTATAATCAGAAATAATCCAATTTCTTCATTTACAAATTTCTGACTAACCTGTGGGTACTTTTAGTTAAATAAATAAAACTAAATACAAATCCAGTAACCTAACCAATGATACACAGTGAAGAAAGCCTTGATATTTACTCCAATGAGCGGGCTACTGTTGTATCCTTTTTAAAGCCCAGGCAAACTCATCTGAGTTACTGAAGAGAAAGAAGTCATAAGAAGTACGTTATAGTAGAAAAATAATTACAACACTTCTCCCACAAAACATCAGCAAAGGAAAACAGTTTCAAGTTTGTGTTGGCTACAGTACGCAACTTCTTTGGATTTTGTTTTGTTTAAATACATTTACTTTATATAATAGATCAACTTTAAGATCATTCAATGGTCTGTAAAATTATTTGTCCAAAGCTGTTATACAAATTTAAATTGTAAAGTTCAATGTAGATTTTGTTTCAGTTTCATGTTCAGAAATAACACATCAAACTATCGAATGACATTACTTTGTGCAAGTCAATAATATTCATTTGCTTTCACCCTTATGCTCTTATTTCTTTATTTACTCGCCTCCTGAATAGATGGCATAGGGTTAAATTGCATGCTCCATGGATCACTTGTTGAATAGTATTGTTGGGGCAGGTGAGAGAAAGTATTGTTGTGAGACAGGGTAAAAGCAAAGATGCCTCTGTCCCTTTCATCTACGATGTGGTTTCCATTCAACATATTAGGCATGGGGTTCTCTCTTTCCTTTACTGCTGATTCATTCAATAAGATCTTGGAATTTTGAACATTTCCATGAAAGTTCTTCTCTGTATTGCCTGGATCGAACTTGCTTGCATTTAGAAGCCTATCCTCTGGTCTTGGTGGGATGTTGGTGCTATTTTCATTGGAATGTGTGCTCTGAGATGGGCCACCCTGTGCATACAGGAGGCTAGCGGAGTGCCAGGCAGCAGGTCTGCGGCCCCGCCGAGGTCGTGGCAAGCGACAACTCTGCCTCTTGATGTGTCTGTGCAGGTGGTCAGAACGGGTGAAGCTCTTGTAGCAATGTACACATTGGTAGGGACGGATTCCCGTGTGTATCCGCAAGTGATTCTTCAGGTCATAGTTGTGCACAAACCTGGCATTGCAATGAATACATGTGTAAGGTCTTTCCCCGGTATGCTTGCGCATGTGAATCTTTAGCTTGTCTTGTCTGAAAACAGAGGAAATAACATGACATCACAGAGAGAAATGCAATGTATTAGAAAATGGTCTATGATGACTGAGCCAAATTATCTTAGCCTAGATAACTATATGCTTCGACAGTGTCTTCAATCCTTGAGAGAGCTCCTCCCCCACTTGTTGTCCAGTAAGCCAATCTGGAAAGCTTTTCACTTTGAATACTGGGTGGCCTCATCTCATCACAAGTATCTGCAGAACGTAGGGTTCTAACGTGTTTTGCTCAGCACATTTTGACTGATGAGTTTAAAAATTTAAAGTTTAAATTTAGTACTCAAGTTGCATGGGGCTCTAACCACCAACCTTCTCATCCAAAAGTAAAAGTGCTACCAGCCAAACTAGCTTCATTACCTAAAAAAGGTTCACTCAAAGGAAAAAGCGTGTAACCCCAATATTTTACAGTCTCCAAATTTGACCAAAGGCTACTTGTGAACTTTATTGAGGGTTTGTGAACTTTAATGTGTTAATGCAGTTCAAAAACATCACTTGGAATAGGTAAAATGAAGATACTCCAATGTTCAAAGGTGCTATTTTGATGGAAACAAAATGTAAATGCAGTTTCAACTTTGGGGAAGCAGCAATGGATCAACATTCTGCATCCAGTAGAGGCAACAGTGCAGTCTACATGATAGATATAAAATTATAATAAATAAAACAAAATAAATAGTAATAGATAAAATCAAAGGCAAACTTGCCATACTCCCACACTCTCAGAGGGAGAGACAACTGATACTGAGTTTAACCTGAGGGCCACTACATCTCAGGAAAGGTTCGGATGACAGAACTTTCATGGTGACCTCAGCTGGTGTGGGAATTGAACCCTTGCTGTTGGCATCATTCTGAACTGGGACTGGGGTGGGGGAAGGTGTGTTGGGGAAGAAAGGTGATTAATTCTGCTTTTGGCAAAGAAAGCGAATATTTGCTGGCTTGCAACCCAAACAAGAATAAAACACCAGCTGGAGTCTTAGCAGTGCCACAGTTGGAAGTGTTTGGCAAAGAAAAATCACTCTAGCTTGTGCACGCTCAGAAAGCTGAAAAGATCTTATACTTGTAAACTTCAATGAAAGATTCTTTACAATATTTTTGTAATAAGTACAATTACAGGCAGGTGTCACCAAAGGCTTCTATCAAAGTAAAACCACAGTAACTCAAAGTTGTATTTGTTTTATACTTTGCTATTCTAACATCGGAACAACTAGGTGTCATAAATTAATGGTGACAACCACTCATTTAAAGACATGATCTGTTTTCAGGAGTCAGTGAAAAATGAATGCAACATGCATTTGACTGCATTTGTAATCTTTGACATTCACAAAATCCTAACGTTTTCTCCACATTATCAGCTCTGTTACATTAACTTACATTCAAGTTATGTTTGAATTTCCTTTCCAATTTAGTCAGTGTTTAGGGAGAGCAGATAAGGGGCCCTGGAGGTAGAACTGCAACAGTCTGAAGCTTTGCAATTGTCCAAAAGGTTTGAGGTTCTTTCAGCTTGCTTGGATGAAAGTGGGCTCTGCAGGATGGATATGCTAACTGAACATGGTACAGAGCCAGTTAAGTTGGTGAAATGAAAGGAATGTAGTGGTAGTAGAGTACAGTATTGTTGGCTTGATGGTAACCATTCAAGTAATAGTTTCTAAATACCTCGGAGATAAAAATAATACAGCAAACAAGAGTTGTGAATTAATTAGTTAATCATATTCAAATATGAGGTTGGTTAGTTCAGTTGGCTGGATGGCTGACTTGTAATTGCAGAGTGATGCCAGCAGTGTGGGTTCAATTCCTGCTACTGGCTGAGGTTACCATGAAGGACTCTCTTCCTCAACTTCTCTCCCTCACTTGAGGCGTGGTGACCCTCAGGTTAAACCACTTCAAGTTGTCTCTGTTTTTCTAACATTAGTAATAGGGGGAATGCTAGGGTATATTATAAAAGACATGATGACAGAATTCTCGGAAAGCCCTAGCAGGATTAGACAAAGTTATTGCAAGAAGATTTGAGTTCAGAAGTAGGAATGTCTCTGGACTCTGGGGTGGTTCCCGCAGATTGGAAAACAGCCAATGTGACGCCACTGTTTAAAAAAGGAAGTAGACAAAAAGCAGGTAACTATAGGCCAGTTAGCTTAACTTCGGTAGTGGGGAAAATGCTTGAATCTATCATTAAGGAAGAAATAGCAAGACATCTGGATACAAATTGTCCCATTGGGAACACCCAGCGTGGGTTCATGAAGGGTAGGTCATGTTTAACTAATTTGGTGGAATTCTTTGAGGACATTACTTGCATAGTGGACAATGGGGAACCTGTGGATGTGGTGTATCTGGATTTCCAGAAGGCATTTGACAAGGTGCCATACCAAAGGCTGCTACATAAGATAAAGTTGCACGGTATTACAGGTAATGTATTGGCATGGATAGAGGATTGGTTGACCTGTAGAAAGCAAAGTGTAGGGGTAAATGGGTGTTTTTCTGGTTGGCGGTCAGTGGTTAGTGGTGTGCCTCGGGGATCAGTGGTGGGACCGCAATTGTTTACAATTTACATTGATGATTTGGAGTTGGGAACTAAGTGTGGTGTGTCAAAATTTGCAGATGACACTAAGGTGAGTGGTAGAGAAAAGCGTGCAGAAGACACTGAAAGTATGCAGAGGGATATAGATAGTCTAAGTGAGTGGGCAAAGGTCTGGCAGATGGAGTACAATGTTGATAAGTGTGAGGTCATCCATTTTGGTAAGAATAACAGAAAAATGGACTATGTTTTAAATGATAAAAAATTGCAGCACGCTGCTGTGCAGAGGGACTTGGGTGTCCTTGTGCATGAATCGCTAAAAGTAGGATTGCAGGTGCAGCAGGTGATTAAAAAGGCAAATGGAATTTTGTCTGCCATTGCTAGAGGGATGGAGTTTAAAAACAGGGACGCTATGCTGCAGCTGTATAGGGTCCTGGTGAGGCCACACCTGGAGTACTGTGTGCAGTTTTGGTTTCCTTACTTGAGAAGAGATATACTAGCACTGGAGGGGGTGCAGAGGAGATTCACTCGGTGATTCCAGAGTTGAGAGGGTTGGATTATGAGGACAGACTGAGTAGACTGGGATTTTACTCATTGGAATTCAGAAGAATGAGGGGAGATCTTATAGAAACATATAAGATTATGAAGGGAATAGATAAGGTGGAGGCAGGGAGGTTGTTTCTGCTAGCAGGTGAAACTAGGACTAGAGGGCATCGCCTCAAAATAAAGGGAAGCAGATGTAGAACTGAGGTGCAGGAGGAACTTCTTCACCCAAAGGGTTGTGAATCTGTGGAATTCCCTGCCCAGTGAAGCGGTTGAAGCTACCTCGCTGAATGTTTTTAAGGCAAGGCTAGATAAATTTTTGAACAGTAAAGGAATTAAGGGTTATGGTGAGTGGGTGGGTAAGTGGAGCTGAGTCTCAAAAAGATCAGCCATGATCTTATTAAATGGTGGGGCAGGCTCGAGGGGCCAGATGGCCTACTCCTGCTCCTAGTTCTTATGTTCTTATATTCTTATGTTCTTATGTCTCACTGCAGTTACACAGGCCCTGGGCAATACTGCTCCTGGAGTATTGTGTGCAATTCTGAGCTCCCAACCTAAGAGAGAATATATTTGCCATAGAGGAAATGCAGCAAAGGTTCAGTAGGCCGATTCCATGAGTGGCAGTACTGTCATGCGAGGAGAGATTTATTCAACTGGGCTGTATTCACAAGAATGAGGGAGGATCTGACTGAAATGTATAAAATTCTAACCGGCCTAGGCAGACTATCTATGTGGTAAATCTGAGACAGGGACCAGGCAAAATCAAAAGGTATTAACGTGGGAAATGGTGAACAGACTGTGGCCACTATCAGTTCTGAGGAAAGGTTACCGGACCCGAAATGTTAACTCTGTTGTTTCCTTCACAGATGCTGCCAGACCAGCTGCGCTTTTCCAGCAACTTTGTTTTTGTTCCTGATTTACAGCATCCGCAGTTCTTTTGGTTTTTATAAAAGAAAGGGAGCTTGTCAGAAAGGCATGGACATAATTATGGGAGATTTTACTCTACATTTAGATTGGAAAAGTCAGATAGGCAAAGGTAGCCAAGATGACGAGTTCATAGAATGTTTTCAGGATAGTTTCATAGAACAGCATGTTGTGATGCCAATCTGACAACAGGCTATGCTGCTCTGAGGAAGGGTCACCGGACCCGAAATGTTAACTCTTTTTTCCTTCACAGATGCTGCCAGATCCATTGACCCTAAAGAAACTGAGTGGAGAATTGATCATGGAAAATAAAGATGGCAGATGAATTGAGCAGGTATTTTGCATTAGTCTTCATTACAGAATACACAAATAACATCAAAAAGGCAGCTATAAATCAGGAATCAGAAAGCAGGAAGGAACTCAGGAAAATTACAAACACCAGAGAAGTGATATTGAGTAAACTTTTGGAACTGCAGGCTAACAAATGCTTGGGTCTTCATCCTTGGGCCTTAAAAGTTATGGCCAGTGAGACAGTTGATGGATTGGCTTCAATTTTCCAAAACTCCCTAGATTTGGGGATGGTCCCATTAGATTGAAAGTCTGTGAATTAAAATCTTTTTACTCAAAAAAGAGAGACAGAAAGTAAGAAACTATGTGCCAGCTTCTTGTACTGTACTTGACATCTGTTGCAAGGAGAATATAAGAAGTTATTATTAAAGAAGTTATAGCAGGGTACTTCGATAAGTTCAAGGTAATCAGGCAGAGTCAACATAGTTTTGTGAAAGAAAAAAATCTATTCCTTATTGGGGTTATTTGAGGAAATAAAATGTGCTCTGGATGAAGGGGACCTGATAGATGTACTATTTTTAGATTTCCAAAAGGTTTTTGACAAAGTGCCACATCAAAAACTTTGCAGAAAATAAAAGTTCATGGTGTCGGGGATAGGATAGCATAGGTAGAAGGTTTTCTTGCTAATAGGAGGCAGAATGTTAGCAAAAATAGGTCTT